TTTCTCCGCGACATACTTTGACCGGTGTTCGTAAAACGTATTCCCATACCTACTATTTTTTTTTTTTTTGGCATTATATACTTAAGGACAAATGTAAATGCAGCGTGTGATCTCATAGTATAAATAATTAAACAGTAATTTGACGGAACACTTAAAACAAAAAAAAAAACAAAATGCTGAATTGAAACGTTTTTTTAATTATTGTCCGTTCGCCAAGAAGAGGACACATAAAAAAAAATACCACTAGACCATTGCGGCGTTCTCGTCGTGGTAAAACATATATTTCTTTAATGCCAATACCGGTAAACTATGCAAATATATGCGAAACGTGTGTGCGTTTAAATGTGAATTATCAAGAGGACGGAGTTGGGTTTTTTTTTTGTTCCAATGCACTTTTACTCACAAATGCCAGTGGATTGTCCAATAAAGCCACGTACAATAGCTATTATTCAAGTCGTCTGAATCGTTTACAGCAACAACAGCCGAAATAAAAAACAACTAAAATAGTGCAAAGTTAATAGGTATTCTGCAAAATCGTTTAAAAATAGATATCCATACAATTGTATTTTAAGAGTGGGACATGTATGTCGAATTTTCTATTTAAATACAGTTTGTCTTCTGTTGAAACCGAGTAGATTAGAGGAAAATATTATTAGGGTTATATGGGGCAAATGTAAAAGAATAAGAAAACGTTAAATTACTTCAAAAACATTCGTATCATAAAAGATATATTGCCAAGATATGGGTTAAAAAATAGCTTTTACATTTGTCCAATTTGATTACAATTACCACCCTACTAAGTACAATGATTTTATAGAGACTTGTGATCTTAATATAGGAGTATAAGTTAGTATAAGACAAAATCAAAATCCCCTTCAAAATGGAATTGAATAAGGACGAATCCGGTCTATTCGCGGACAAAACTATATAGTTGGGACAACCATAATTATGCTTAATATTAGACACAATAAATATTCTAGTTAGAATAAATAAACAAATAGATGACCCAACTAAACATCTAGTTGCATTTGCTATAAATATAGTTGGTCCAACTATTTATTTAGATATTCCAACTAGAATATTTTTTGTGTCTTATATTAACCATAATTATGGTTGTTACAACTATATAGTTTTTTCCGTGTTGACGTAAATTAAAAAAAAAAAAACAATTACATTGGTCATTACACAATTAATCGAAACTACTTAATTTATAACAGCGGTAAATGACCTCCCAGTATATATGGAAAAAAAAGTCCCATTCAATAAAAAAAAATAGTTAATTATCTAAAATTACATTGTATTCAAATCAGATTTGTTCCTCATTACTTTTTTTATATGTAAAAAAACTTTCCCGACAAAATTATAAATATATACAACCTTGAGTTCTTGGACTGAATTATTCTTGTGCTTTTGTAAATGTATTAGTCGTATAGTCTACGACTTTATTTTGATTGAATTTAAAATAGAATGTTCTTCATTATGTATTATGGAATTTCAGAAATCGTATACAAATCATAAATATTTATAGTTTTTAGACTTATGATTGGGTTACGTATTAAAACCAACAAGTTATTCGTTTTTTTTGTTGTCCTTTGATGTTTTTGCGTTTACTGCGAAGAGTCTCCAATGGTAGTTATATTATAACTTAAAACGTTTCGACATTGCTTTTAGATGTGACAGAAATATTATGCGCAACAAGACGGCGAGTGGCGTATGGAGGAACATCAATCGTAGTAAAGTACAACATATATTCCACCAGCATTAACTTCTGTCTTTTTTCTCTCGTTTTATGATTTCATGCTCTTTGAACATAGAAATGTTTAAACGGGATAAAACCGCTGCGTCCTCATTCCACTTTGTCGTTTGATCAACATGGATTTATATAATCAAACCTTCTTGTGGTCTTATAACGTTGTATTTACCGGAAAAAAGTCCAAACAACCTTTTAGTGCTTATGTTAATGCGAACCAGTGCTATTTACCAGACAATTATCTTGATAACGCATTATTTCATATAACGCAATTTATCTCGAAATGTTTGAACGCTGAACTCAAAACAGTCTTATGGTTTTATTGCACAAATGATAAATAATTTATGAAATCCGTTTGTCTTATCGCTTTTGAAATATAATAGTGTCTTAATAGTGTATGCATTTACCTATGTTGTATAGCTAAGTCATGTTTTAGTATTTGAATAAAATTGTTATTTACATTTTGCTTATGCAACAGAATCGTGTCGATTACACGTTTAGCTAATCGCATATACTAGTGTAATTTACAAAATTCAATGAAATTTGAAGTAGTGAGATTTTGTTTTAAAATTGACTTATCTATATGAACTTGTCTACGTTAATGGTTTTGAATCAAATGTTTCTATTATAATACAAAATGGAGCTAAGTAAACGTTGATAAAAATAAAAGTGAAAAGTGTGCCTTAATTAAATGATATCGCACCCCCGCTTAAAAAGTGACACAACTTAAAAAACATGATTTTCGAGGTTATTATAGCACATTTTAAATAAATAACATATCATTATTGTGTAAAGACGTCATAAGTCTATTATTATTTTTCACCGATAGATGGCGCACGCAATATTTGGTATTACATTATTTTACATTACGTTGTACTTTTTTAAATGGCTCTATTGGAAAATTGCATTTTTGGAGTTGTGTCACTTTTTAAGCGGGGTTCCGATATGTCCTTAACATACAATTTAATATTTGAGTACAATAAATTATAAGAGATGAAATAAATTATTATAGATATTTATTTCTTGAGAATATAACATTTAATTTCCTTTGCTGTTTAGGAAATCTCTTAGATTGCTATAAAAACTAAATACTAATAAAAAATACAGCTTAAAAGTTAATTAAAATAAAATAATTATTAAAACATTACAACATAACTACGCTTTTCATATAAATATATAACTGAACTTGGTATGTACTTATTACATTAGTATGTACTATGTACTTATGATTGCATTAATACATTTTATTTATGGTACTATAGATTGTATTAAAAATTGCATTTATCAACAAATTTTTAATCGCATAATAATATACAAAAACACAAATTCTAATTAATGGTGGATCAAAAATTACAAATTGTTGTTACTTTTGTATATTTGTTAATAATAATGTAAATCCAAATATTAATAATAGAATAATACCAATTTTCTGAATTTCGTAGAAAAAATAAGTAGGTATAAAAAATAAAGCATTGCTAAAGGTGGCATACACTACAGTTTTATTTCTCGGTGAACAGTGTTCGGTGTATAGTTTGAACACCGAACACGGAAACGGAATTAAAACTGAGTAGTTTGGATTTTGTTCTGTATTCGGTGTTCAGTGTTATAAAAACGGAAGATGTGTGCTCATTTCTGATGTTCGAACTAAACCGAACAGTTTTAAATATTTAAAATCATAATTAATTAATTAATTTCATTTCATTTTAAATTACGATAACATTTGCGATAAAAGCTCTTATCGCACTGCCGTACATTCAACCCTTTCCAGTCGCTGATTATTTTGTTATGTTTTAATATTAAAAAACCAATAAGCTCAAAATCAAGAAGCAAGTTCAGAGTCTAGACGAATTACGGCGCTGTAGTATTAATATAAATACAAACAAGAGACAACAAGTATATATTTATAAAACCAAAATGTATAAGAGATTACATTGTCTGTAAATAAGATTAGCGCATTGTATGACACTGTTTAGCAAATATAACAATGAATAAAATATTAAATAATAAATATTTTTAGGACAATATTCGTCTTGACATTGTATATAATAACGGAATTTAATACATGATCCGTATCATATAATAGACGTTTATGTTATTAAAATTAATAATGAGACAAATTTTTTTGATAAATGTTTTATTGAAAATTAGTTTACAAAACCGATAGTTTTTAGTACCTAAAGTTTACCGGTTTCAAAAGTAAAGTTTAAATAATGATAAACAAAAAATACAATTAACATAACTGAATAATATTTTGTTCAATTAAAAAAAGACCCTTCGTATTTCCATATTTAATTTCATTAATAAAAATAAAAGTTTAAGATTAATTTACATCTGATGAGTTTTCTGTTTTGGCAGATTATAAATCCTACTTCTCGACATATTTTATTTTTTAGAACTATTCAAATTCGTTATGTTATTAATAATAGTTCAAAGAAAATTTAATATTTAAGAGGATATCACACCTCTCGTATTTCGGTCGTTACTCGTTTTGCGGAGGACATGATTTCTGGGGTTGTTACATAAAATTACAAAATGGTTACAGTAAACAGAAAAAACTTCCCTGTTTAGTGGCGATTTTTTTTTTTTTTTTTTGATAACTTATATATATAACTAGTGTTATTGATTTACAAAAGTTATATATATTTTTTTTTATATTTGCATTTACTTTTTAAAAATTGTTGTGTTATCGAAAAAAATAAAAACGCTATCATAGAAATAATGTCCCTGCAATGTGTAGTAAAAATAATCTGCCAAAATATAAAATCTTAAACATTAGGTCAAAAATGAAAATTTAGATTACATACCGGCTACCGCCTTGTAATAATAATAATTGAATTTGAAGCGTCTCTATTAATATAGTATAATATAGAATTATGATCACAACACTTAATTAAAAAGTTACTTCAAAGTTAACTATATAATTGTGAATTAAAAAAAAAAATAGTCGATAAGTAAAATTATTCCAAGTATAAAAAATAATAAATAATTTTGACAAAAAGAATACTAAAAAAATAAATCATAGTTGACAATAAATTTAAGTAGTTTAAAAACATAAAGTTAAATAATGTATACATTTTATTAGGAAAATTTCAAACACTATCAGCATTCTTATTTAATTTAACTCATAGGGGATCTAAACGGTTGTCGACCGAACGAAAGAAGAAGAATTTCACTTATGTAATTTAGAAAAAACAGTTAAAGGAAAATATAAATCATTCGTTAATAACTATACAACTATAATATTATAGTACTAAGATATTTGGAATTGAGTTTTGAACAACAAATATACTTTGACTATGACTGTTTTCAAAATATTGACCGCGTTGAAAAAACAGGACTTAATGAATGATTCCCCGTAGATTATCTGAAAAAAAAATCGAAATTATCTTAAGCACTTAAAGTATACACATTTCAGCACATTGTATTTAAAGTTTATAGCTTTGGACTTACCGTCTCTTGGTTAGTGTTTTTGCCACGCTCTGTGAAGGACTTCTGAAATTCAGTTTCGAGATGTTCAACCTTAGCGATAACGTTTTTGTATGCGTCGATTAAATCTTGCAACTCCTACGAAGCATCAATTTTAAAGCATCAGTAAACTAATAACTACGAATTGTAGGCAGTTTAAAATTTCAAACGTATTATTTACTCACTTTTTTACGGTTAGTTTGTGGTGGAGAGCGCAATGGAGAAGTTTGAGTTTCACGGTCATTTAGTTTTAACTCCATAGCGTTTATTCCCTTGTTGCGATAGACGATCTGACAAGTTCTATTTGTCCCGCATATTCGTTTGTTTATTATTTCTAAAACATTGTAATACAATAAATTGAATAGTTATTATAGTAGTATAATGTGCTGTGTATTTATTGATTTAGACAGAGGAAAGTCTTATGGAAATACAAAAAAACCATTATAATTCAAATAATAAACAAATTTTAATATGCTATAAAATTTACCAAATTTAAAATGACTGTTAACCGTTTTACTAATTTTGTATAAGAAAATATAAGATGGTCATAATATACATATGACATAAAAATGTCACTATACGGTTCAAAATGGGAAGCGGTAAACGCTCTCCCTCCTTTAAAACCACCCCTGTACCTGGATTAAAAAACATGTCTAATTTCTGTGATCCCATTCCTAATAGTCATAATTATTTTTATCTATTATTAAAATGTTTTCCAACATCAACGATAGCATCTTATTTAATCAAAGAGGACAATTTAATTTCTAAGTATCCTATAGTGACGTTAAAACATATCACAACGAAATATAAACTAAAGAATGATAATAACATTAAAAACACGTAGGTACTTGTTGTTACTACTAGAAATTATAAGTAAATATTGTCATTAAGATTAAATTTTATTTTTTATGTAAGTTAAAATTTGTTTTTATTTAGTTACAGGTACTATAAGCAGATTAAAAATCTACAAGTTAAATCTAGGCGTATAAGGGAATTAAGTATTTAATGTTTATAATAATAATAACTGATTTAACATAAATTTATTCATGGGCAGATTTATTTATAAATATATTTTATTATTATTTTCTACATTTTTATCGTCAAGTTTTAAACAGTGTACACTTCATATGAAGCCATTAAAGCAACATCTCATTTAATACGCGTCATTTTAAATTATTTTTAATTGGACACTAAGAAAAAAGAAGTATTGAATATTAATGCGATTTTATTTACTAATTCCAGTTACTATTTTTTTTAGTAACGGTATCGCCGATAAACGTTAATTATTATTAATCCCTATGGATCTTACCGCGTACTAGATTTATGTAGTTTCTATACTCGACTGGTTCATTTTTCAATTTGGCTATTTCAGTACACTCAGTTTTATACAGATTTTGTAATAACTCCATGAGCGTATCACTTATAAGTCCATCTAGAAATATTAAATTTAAATTACTTATCTTCATTGGAAAAACGTTATGAATGTGGGTATATTTTTGATAATCAAATTCAAATGTATTTCCTCCGAGATGGAAATTGATAAAAAATAATAGATGTAGGTATGATATTACCATTTTTTTCTTCTTTGTAATATACATACTTTTTTTATTTTTATTTTTTATTTGTCCTTTATTTGTAATCATAGATATCTTAAATCTTTATTTACACATGAATTATTTTTTTGTAATGTAACCGTTGGGCTTTTAGACCGTACTCATAATAATAAATAAATAGTATACTGTTTATAATATTTATAATGAATAATTTGTATTTTAAATGTCACGTTATTTTTACTTTGCCATATTAATTCAGTGTATAATTAAACGTGTTTTAATTTCTGAATTGATTTGATAATTTATAATATAACTGATTGATTAACAACCAAAAAAACAAAAAGATTATTTGTTTTCTACTTGTTACTATTATAAAATAATATTATTATGTTATGTTTTGATTTACCGTACTAAAATAATACCTTGTTTAAAAAAATATATATATAATAAATTTAATTCATATACTCACCAAACGGAGATTTCCCAGCCATTTTTGAGTTCTTTGGCTCCACCATGTAGTTGAATGTAACTTTCTTATCCATCTTGTCGTAAACAATGTAACCTGTATAAAATAAAAAACTGTTTTATTAACCATCAAATAATTATCAGCCGATCATTATAAGTATTAAAATTCATAGTTAACAATGACTGTTGGATTTATTTAAAAAAAAAAATATAACTAATCCTATGATATTTGGCCAACATGTGGTAATTATAAATTGTATTTATATTTTTTTGGTCAAACAAGTTGAATGCATTACACTTTTACTCACTTTTTACTAACAACAAAACTAGCGTTAAGCACAGATGTATAAAAATTAAATCAATATTAAATGACCTACAACTCTCCATCAAACATAGGTACTAGCCGTACTACCTAGTAACACAAAAAATAGCATTTGACTTGTCTCACCTTTTACCTAAACGCTTTAGAACAATGGTATAATAAGTGGCTTATTAGTGAAATTATTGTCAATAATTTTAAATACATTTCTAGCGGTTACATTAGGTTATGTAAGCATTTTGAAATTACAATACAATTTTAGGCATAAGACATAGATAAAATGAGTAAAATAATTTTTGCCTAAATATATTAAAATAAAATAAACGTACTTACTTATATATTATAGGTACTCTCTCGAGGTAACGATGACATAATGAGAGTTCAGGTCTTTCTGTATAGTTTTAAATGTTCTACAAACGGTTTTACCAGCGGTAATATGCTTTGTAGTTGGAGATAATTATAATTCACTGATAGGGAATTATTAAAATACATATAAATTCACATTTTACTTTAAATAAGGATAATTCCCATTTAAAAATGAATATATATGTCGGATCATATGAAAGTAATTGATACAAAAATGATTATCTTATAAAATCACTAAAATATTATTACTGTTTAATATAAATTTATATTTAAAACTGATTTAAACACAATATTTTCTTTTGATACAAAATAATATTAATATTTAATCAACACCATTGATTATTTAAATAGAGTATTTCTACTCTCCAAATTTATGTTTTTTTTTATGGAAATCATTCTAAGTCAATTAAACCTAAGTGTATAAAATATAATATAATGTCTAAAATACTTGGGTAGTTGAAAAGGTGAAAAAGGTGAACATCCGAAGTGGTGGATTTATTTGTATAAAAATTATATATTTTATTAAATATACTGGATCGAACTTCCGGTGAAATATATATATATATATAATAATATATATATATATATATAAAATTTACGCCGTCTACTTTATTATGCCGACTGCCTATTCAACATGTTTTAGCACTCAACGATATCAATTATTGACGTCATACCTTTAACGGATGACTCGACGACAGAAGCACGGGACTCGCGTTTCGAACAATTCAATAGCCATAAAACCAACGTCCGTTATTTCCGAACCCTGGGAAAACGATAAACTTCTATTCAAAACCTAACCAGACGTATTATAAACATATGGCTATTTTCCCGGTAATCAGTACCTGCGCGGGACTGTGACGACTCACAATGTAAAGGTTGTGAATAAAACTTCATTAGTATTAAGGTAGCTAACGATTTTCGACAGCAACCCTCAACTTAATAGGGTATAAAAATAAAATGGCGTCGCTGGATGCTTAATGCTAGTAGTATTCTATTGTTTTTTTATTCTGCGTTATTAAACGGCCAGTAGACTGTATTAGATATTTGAAGACGTTGGCTGAGGTTAAAAGTCTTGTGTTACATTATAATCATTTATTATTATTTATACATCAGCTAATAATCGTACAATTAAAAAAAAAATCTAATTAAACACTGTACACATTACTATTAGGTATATAAGAGATTAAATGATTCTGTTAGTTGAAACTTAAAATTAGGCAATATAAATTGCACGCAAAGCAAATTTCGAATGCGCATCAATTTAATGCGAACTAAAAATTACATCATATGAAGGTTGAGTAAAAATTACATCAATAACAATACTTATTAATACTAATATTTTCCTTTCATCCGCAGTGGGCTATAAACCATTTTTAAATCGCTTGTTTTCGAAACGGTAATACCGTTAATGTAGCTTCAAGTAAAGTAATTATTCTGACCATTACCGGTAATTTAACTTCAATCTGACGGCAGAACACAAATATTGGTAGGAAAATCGACATTATATAGCACCATTACATTAGAACCTTTGTTTTTCTGTCAAACTCGCAAATTAAGTGAAGTCAGTTTGCCTTTATTTCCTATTTTACCCGACTAGTGTAATAATCGTCGCGTAGTTGGGATTTGTGAAAAATTAAAAATTACCTCGACTATAATATAAAGCGTTCTTTTATCTAATCACCGCAAATATGCAATGCACAATAATTTGAATTGTTAATGACAATTGGATTGGACACCTCGGTAAAAAATAAAAACTGCTCTTTATTCGTTCAGTTCTTTACCGTCAATAACATAGGGTGGGCGAACATATCCATATATTTATGTTAATGGCGCTCGGGTTAAATTGTATATAGAAAACAAAATAATAATTACAATAAAATGTCAAATATTCTATAACAGTTGGGCGCGACATTTTACACTGGTTTGCAAATGACAACTCATAAGAAAGGACAGAGTTTTGAGGGGAAAAACAGGATTCGTTTATTGTTACAAAGGTATACCTTTATACAATAACCTATAATAAGGGAGTAGGTACCCGGACAAGAGAAAACAAAACAAACAAACCCGTCCGGATACCTAGGAAACCCAAAAAAATGTATAAACGCGCGGCAGTACCTTTTAGGCCATTTCGGTATATTCGAACATTAGAATTTTGTAGTTATTCACTTCGACTACAACAGCATGTCAAATTGACCGAAACTATAATAAAATAACGATGCTCATTGTCCGTATTAAGTTTTACTCGGGATAGGTACAACACTGTTCGGTCTTAGTCAACAAAATTGCAGTACATGCGCATCTAGTTATTGCTGTGAATAATTTTCCCTTGTATTTATGCTTTTGGCTCCGGGTAATAATTTAAGAATAACATACTGAACCTATTAAAAAGAATGTCGTCAAACACTCATAATGCCTCTTGCAAATCATAAAAAAAATACACAATTTACACCTCTTACTGATGAATTTCAACAAATTTTCCGTATCCTCCGGTTTGTCAATTAATTACAGTTAATCGTATATGCTGATACCGAGTATTACACTATTATGTTACATACCAAACGCTGGAAATCAGTAGTAATAATGAATAATTATATGCAATAATTATATGCAAATAATAAATACCTACAGTCTACTGGTTGTGACGATATTTGCAAACCGTGCAATCTAATAACAACATGATGCCTGTACAAATTGTGTATGTAAATATATGTTAATATAGTAAAATCAAATCGGAGGACGGTCCAAAAAGGACAAATGTGCGAAATGATGAGAGCCAAATGTTTAGAATAAAATTAAATAAAGTGGTTTCAGCGTTGGTGATTTAGAACTAGCCACACATAAATACTAAGTTTCCATTTAATCACTGTGCGTATCCATAGTTTAATGTATTTTTTAGTGCTATAAAAAGGGTACATGAAAAACATTTCATTTTTGTGGGAAAAAAAATAATTTTTTTTATCTATAACTTTTTTACTTCTACGCGTGTATTCATAATTTAATGAATACACAATATTAATATTAGCATTATTTTATTAAAAACTATTTCGCTTAAAATTTTTTCTCTAAATCTGAATCGGTGTACGATTTTGTGCAATAGCTCAAGTCTTTTTTTAAATAACCCTCGACAACATAGATTTAAGCTCTTTTCAGTGATTGAGACACTGCGGATGGTACTAAATTTTGTTTTACATTATAACCAAACATAATACCTATGCAAAATTTAACATACTATACTACATCGCTATAGGACGTTGGTACAGGAGTACAAGTTTTTACACGCGTAAAACAAAAAGTTGTCAACCAACCATTCTTGTCACGTTTCCTCTCGAATTCCATTTTGTATCACAGCGCATTCGTTTGTCGAATCACACAAGTTACAACTTCAATTTTACTGAGACCGATCAAGTCGTTTGCATCGAGTTATGAAATGCATAATATTATTATAATTGTACAGCTGTACAACCATTCTGTTTACCATTAACCTGCATACTGTTTGTATGTTTTACATAGTCAATAATGAATGTTGTTAATCATAAGAAAATAAAAAGAGCATGCGACATTAATGGCACGAGTACAAATTATAAAATACTTTTCAAACGGTGTTCAATGAATACAAGCAAACGGAACTAGGTAGGTACTAATAAAAAAAATCACGTTTTATTGTTAAATTTTATATGGTCTATTTTAATATGCAAGTGGTTTTAAAAGCACTACTGAAATCGTGTTGTTTATGACCGCGTGAGGTCATAATATAAACGTGCAAAGGCACAAACACTATACTTGCTTATGACAGCATTTTTTATTTAACTAATAAATTTCACAACGACTGAGATACCGAATACTGTTTCATGTACTTAGGCTTGAACTTTATATACACATACAACATGAAAACAGATACCGATTTGATGTTTAATTAAATTATTTTTCAACATACCAACTTGTCTATAGAAAAACTAGTAGAACGGTTAGGTTAGGAAATTAAATAGCTCGATAAGTTGTTAAATGGTATGTTATTAGATAACGCATTAGAGTGGAATTCAGGAGTTCGATCTACGCTCGGTCCGATACCTACACATTTTATTTTTAACATTTATACATTTACATAACAAGTCCTGTATACGACAGACGACTGATTTATTCATCGTCTAAATTAACTTATGGATACATTATACATCTAATATTGAAATCGTGTAGTAGTTTTTTATTCAGTTTTAACAATATTATTTATTTTTACCGGCACTGTAATTTATATGATGTATTTAATAAAACATATATTGCATGTGTTTTATATATATATTAATATTAATTCAGCGGATTTAACGTGATTTTGAAGGAAAACAGTAAAACCCAAGTTGATTTCATTGTAACGCAACCGTTTTAAAGAACATCTTATGTAAACGATATGTTTAATTCATTATGTACAATAATACAATTGTGATTACTCTTTGTGATGCAAGTTGTAACCCGTCCAAAAATCTTAAAGCTCTTTTAGGTTTTATTTATTTAACACTATATTTATTTTACATTGTTCGTAGGATACCTATACAATTTTAAAACTACATACTTAACATTCGATTGTTTAACTGTATTGTAAGGTCCAATTTCGATTCTCTCCCTCTCTCCTCTGTTGACACTTTAAAATTTTAGCTGGATAATTTTTTTAATGATATAAATTAACAATTGCTGTAGTATAATTGTAATGTTTTTATGCTTTATACCAAAAAATAGTAAATTTAATACTGAATTGTAATTGTTAATTTATTACACAACAAAATAAAACATATATCTTACGTGTGTTTCAATAGCGACACAAGTCGAAAATTAACGTTCTGGCAAAATGTTTGTGTGGGAACTTAAAAACTTGCTTTTACCCAACTTCTATTTTTTCCAAATCATTTAGGCGATAGAAAAAAAATGATATGACTGCATCCTTCAAGGACTGTTTACCCAAGTTTTACCACGGTAATAACTAAAATTATTGATTTTTTTACTTGTCTCACTTTTGAAGCACATGTGCCTATTACAATAAAAACTTATGAAAATTAAAAATATAATCTCTTATAACTCAATTAAGCAAAAGTCGGTCTTTAAGCCACTACAAAGAATATATTGAGCGATACAACAACATGTAATCCGATCAGTGGATAATTTGGAAAATGTCTTCTCGCATTAGACTTCATTTTTGTGAAAATCCGGCCTTTCCGTTGTCTTGAACACAAACATTATCCCGTTTACGCTCAGCGCCCTACACATAGAACACCAGTTCTTATTGTCTATATCAACGTTGTTCAACTGTTTTTATTAGTATTTTTCTTGAAATGTATTTTCAATTAGACCCATTCTTTTATATAATTATTTTGCCGGTATAATTAATAAGAAATGGACCTATTGGACCTTTCGAATGCGAACGCCGCAGAATCATTTTGAATTACCGACTCGAGCATTCGCAGCGGAACGTCGTCACGCTATAATGTGTTACTATTACTTGGCGACGCGACGTGCCATTTTTTTTTCTCATTTTTAACGTTCCGAGTTTTCGAACTGGTTACTCGTTTCATTCCCCCAACTCTACAGTAGGTACCGAGTAGTACTAAACACTGTCTATGCAATTTTACGATTTTTCCCGAGTTATACATGTATTATATGTATACTGCATATTATGCACTAGTGCACATGCTATTTTTTTTTGCTGTTTAACGACAATATAATAATAATAATTCGTGTGGGAACACGGCGTTAACGACCGGACGCTCGCGCGGCGGCTCGCGTCGTCCACCGACAGATGGAGTCGTTGGCCGGCGTCCCGCGGCCGCGTGTTCGCCCTTGCAGCCACCATCGTCCGTCGTCCCGCGGCGGCCGCACAGCTGACCGGCTTTTCCTCCCGCCCGCGTACCGTAGCCGCGCGGGCCGCCCACCCGTTGGGTTGCCGAAGCGGCGGCGTCGCCCCGGACGATGCGACGCGAATCCCCGTCCTCAGTCGACACGTTCACACCCGGTCGGACACACTCGCGTCCGTCCTCAACCGCTTGTCCGCCGCCGCCGTTTGTCGTCGCGTGTCCGTTTTGCCAAGACTTTTGATTATCGTTTTTCTTTATTTTATTCGTGCCGCCAAAACTATGAACAAATAAAATAAAGAAATATCGTTGTGATTGTTAAAATTGTTTTTCGTTTGCCCCCGGCCGCGTGTTTTGATGCAACCCCGCAACAATTATAGCAACGCGGTTCGTTCGTGGTGTCGCGGCCGACAAGAAGACGACGTCTTTGCCGGTGTGCTGGCCTAGCGGGATTCTGTCTACGCACAACTATCACTATAGCCGTAGTGCCCCGGCGGTGTACCGTTTTTTGTTGGTAAATTCAAATTAGCACCGATCGTCTTACCGGAAATGGCCATGCGGTCGTTGTTGTTGGCGTCGTTTCTCGTGTTGCTGTGCCATCGTCGGTGGGAATGTCAAGCGCATCCGGCTTCCGCCGAAGAAACCGTCAGCGACTGCGGTGTAGCGGTCGAACACTTCCGGTCGGTCGGACTTTACGACACTCCGCAAAAAGTCCTCAAAGGTAAGTCATCAACCGCCCTTTTTTTTTATACGTACGTTAAGCATTACGATTAGCCCCGTGTGCAATTACACTGCTGGAACCAGTCGCGTGCTTCACCGAGAGTCTAGATTTAGGTAGGTAGAGGGAGAAGTAGGAGATACGTTTTTTCACATTGTCTTGAACTTAAAACAAATATGTCTTCAAGCACCGACTGAAACCCTGTTAGTACCAGTTCTCCGAACGGTAACCATGTGCACCTAATAATATTGTAGATAATGTATTCAGGAGGTTTAGATCCAAATTATGCTGGATTTTAGCTCCTCCGAAAAACACAATTTTTTACAAAACAAATTTACTCCAACGTTACAAAACCAAGTGTTGTTCAATTATTATTCAAGTGTTATCCAAGTTTTGTCGTGCCCATTTGATTTTGATTTAAAACCATACCTTCACAATAATATCGAATTGGATAAGTAGTTATAGGAGTGATGACTTGTGTTAACACATTACCTATCCACAAGAAGCATAATATTGTACATTCCATTAGGACGTGACTTAGATATTTTTATGTTCATCTATTTTTTATAGCTCTAAATGTATTTTCGTATTTTAAAACGAAGATTTTTCTTTTTTAGTAGTTAAGATAACATTATTATTTTATAAGTTAAACTGTATCTATTCTATTCTCGGCACATAAAAACTAAAAAGAACAGATCCGACTTTTGCCGTTTTTACGGTAAAATTTTTTTTCAATTGTTACCTGCTAGGTAGATTTATTTAATTAGTTCGTTTGTAGTGTCTATCCTCTACGTTAGCATGCCAAAAGCGTAGGCAACATTGCAACGTGGAGTAAAATCGCCGAAGTATATTAATAGGATAAGCAGATAAGAAAACAGATTGTTGTCCGATAACGAGAGGTCAAATTCGTCGTAGCGGCCATGTTTGTGGATTTATCTTGGGTACCATTTAAGCGTTAAAATTATTATAATATAATAATAATACCATTAGACTGCTATCGCGTTGGATCGAAGCGTGCGAAACTAATGAGATAAAATGACACCGCTGCGGTCGAATCGAGTTTGCTAATTGATAAAATTAAAATCTACAACGTTTTGCAGTCTAATTAACCGTTGTGCACATTCTCTATCGACTCGTTTAGGGCCTCTTAGAGTGCAAAATATCACCGTCCTGACCGCCTGTAGGTACCTATCTCTTTGCGATAATTACAATAATAATTGCACAAGTACTACAACGCCATGCAAACATTACTGTTGAGAATGCGTTTTGTATTTATTGCCGTTTCTAGTGCACATGATAAGCGGAGGAAAAAATGCTTCTGATTTTTTTTTCAAGAGCCACCCTGCCTTTTGACTTTACATAATATACTCGATATATTTTAGTTATACTACACTCTGCCGGTTGTTGTTATAATTATGTCTTTTTCGAGTGTGATGATCTGAATCACGTCATAGTATTTAGTAACACCAATAATAATAACAATATAATTCCTCTCGTGCGCTGTACTTGCAATATCACGTCAGCAATTGGCTCGATCCACGGTAAAAACCATTACAGGCGATAACATATTTTATCTAAAACACAAAATTATCAAATGCCAACTTGGTGTTATGTGCCATGTTACATTACAATAACAATTTACTCTCCAGTAAGTGTCTGTTTTATTTTCAACGGGCCAATTTTTTTTTAAAACGAAATTATTTGTCATTTGTCGGGGGGTTTTTTGGGGTGGAGGTTTCAATGTTTTTTTTTTAAATCAGTACCGATCGAACCGACACCTCAGGCGATCGGGGTTTGGTCAGCACCCTTCGGCAGTAACTCCAATTAGGGTTGAAAAATCTTTTATTTTTTTGGCACCCCCACTATGTTGTTTTAATATTATAATATACGTATGTATATGCATTGACCCGAATACACTCGAGTTGGCCCAGACCCAGACCTTAATGCACGTGACCTGGTCGTGGACAATCTCATTTTATTAATAATATTAATCGACCGTTCACATTTATACACAACAATAGTACCTACGTTAAAAAAAAATAGATTATTAAACAAAAAGCTATCGAGGGTAACCTACGAAAATCATTTTATCTTTTTAGTAAACATTTGCAGCATCAGAGAATAAATTGGACTCGTAGGAATTGTTTTGGACGTTGAGCGACTCACGTTGAAATTCTAGTTAATTTAAACTAAAAAATAAAATCGTAGACAATTTGTTGAAACTCCCGTCTGTTCATACTTTAAGTATTTTTAGCCGTTTAGTGTTATTTTATCAGCTTGTGCGAATTCGAATTGGGTAGTCTCAGGCACAGTCCCATTTATTTTGTGCCCCGTACCCCTTTACAGGCCTCATAAATCTTTTATATAATTGGACATTGTCCAATACTGAATTCTGTTAGGGAGGGACACGCACGTTATACGCCAACGAACTTGTACACTCAGGATTATTCATGTGTTGATGATCTTTATCGAAGACAAGTTTGATTCACACTTAAAACATTTGTACAGCTTTTAAACGCTGAATTTGCGGTAGCCATGTTTCTAGTGAACGTAAGGCGACGGTCTCGGTGTTAAAAATAGTATATGCTAGTGAGCACTCGACAAGAGGTATTTTTCGATTTTCAAAATTCCGAGTACCACTAAAAAACGGATGACCTAATTCATATAGGAACTCAACAAGTATCAATTGGATATGATTATATACAGAGACCCGAGCATGCGTATCGCCAATTTCGACACTTGAGCAATTGATTGACTCAAGCAAGCCATTCAAGTAGAAGGTTCCCCGAGCACTATAACAATAATATTTTTATTTATAAATATTTTAATAATACAAATATATACATATATATTCGCTTTGAAGGAAAGTTTTTCTCTCCCCTCTTTCTTCCCCCTTAAAAGTCTGTTAACAAAAACGATAATCACTATTAAACGGGAGCGCTAACGTAAAAGGCAAAATAATAAAGACAAAAAAAAAAGTAATTATCTTAAAAAATACTCTATGAAAACTTACCAATCAAACTTTAATAAACACAGACAAACTGTTAGGTAAATACTTTTTACCAACGGACTACGTCGTCGGTAGATGTATAACAAAATAGATCGGTTGTATGTACTTTGTGTTACTCGTGTCATAATGAATTACCACCCGTGTACACGAGGATCGTGTTAAGCCCGAGGGGGTGTGTTCTTTGGAGTAAATAAAAAAAAAAATAGGGAAAACGATATACCTATACACAACGGTTAATTGAGCACGTCGGTTTCTATTTTTTTTCTTTCTGTAAATTAGACCGCAATGACTTCATTATACGATTATTACCATTACACGTGGCCGCCGACGAAGATGACTAGGAGGCTCTTATAAACTCGTGTATAACATGCTTAATCGTGACCGCGCGCTCAAAATAATAATAATAATGCACGTTAACCACCGCCCATTAGTCCTGGAGCTCAAATTATCGGTTAACGGCTACCATATCAATTTTCAGTATTCCTTTTTCTTTTATTGGGCCCATTTGCAATGATTCTCCTTCGACAACATTCTTTCGCATCGAAAAGCTCTTTGACGTCAACTCGAATCCTCGTTTCCATCTATACGACACTCAAAACATAAAAAATAAATGTAAACGCACACCAGCTATATTTTATCCTCGATTAGCGATTGACGAAGGACCTCGACTCTTTGAGGTCGGGAACGCCCTTTTCCCTGCCGGAAACAATACCGCAAATGAAAACCACGCTGAGTAGATATAGTAAATAGCGATTTGCTTAAAATAAAGAATCCAAATGCATGCTTATCGTATCCTGCAGCTACCGAACATGAACATTGTATGTGAATGGATGTAGTCTTATTGTTGTATAACATCTGTGCTCGACGAGAATATTGAACAATAACCGGAGATGAGTAAATATTTTATTCGAACAAAATTAAAAAAAATTCGGAGGAAAAAATGTGTATTCTTGATTCCCTTGTAAAATGGAATTCTATAGTTTTAAGTAGGTATATATTTAATTAATTAAATAGGCATGCCATTTATGTAATACTATTTAACTACACACAATTAAAAATACACTATGGTATCCTCTAGTCACGATCCATTCACGCATTTTAAATAATTTTTAATATAATAATAATAAATTCACATATTATCGTTTTATTCGAATGATGCACAACTGTGTCGAGCGACATTCGACAATACCATACATAATATTACATTACAATACACATTTTATATAAAGTATTCGCTTATTACAATGTTACCTATGACTTAGTAATGGCGAGGATGTATATCTGATGTTCATATATGAATATTATTATGATTACTTTGGTATCTAGTGCTATATTCGCGCTAAAGACATTTTCATGTCTGTATATAAAGGTAAAGGTATTTGCCTAAATTTCTTTTAGCATACCTATCTGTATAAATTGTGTATGTGTGGGGTTGGCACTTGGCGACCTACCTTTTATGTCGGTAATGCGCTAGGTCGAGTCTATTGTTAATTTCTTTTTTATAAATAGGCGTCAAAATGAGGGAGGTAAGGGGGCAAATTCCACATACGGGTTAATAGCCGATTCGTCGGCAGGTCGAAAAAATGTTCAAAGACTGCCCCTGCGTATGCAGTATTCGATTTCGTCGTTTGAAATTTAATGCTTGTTGCAAAAAAAAACAAAACCAATTTATTATTATAATATAATCGGACACACGATAGCCGCATCGTTCTTTGAGTTTAGAGGCCCCCAACGTTATTAGACAGCGGCTTTGGGTTCTGTCGGCTCTTGTCGTGGCCCGTTGCCAGAGCCCGGTGTCGGCTGCTGGTGTATACATACAAGCAACGAAAATATTTTCTAGTATCTGCCAAAAACCAAAGAAAAAAAAAACAAACAGCACGTCCGCGCAACTTAATGTAATATACTTTATCGCGTCAGTATATTACACGTCGTGTAAACGGCCCAATATAATATATGGCGTACGGAGACGCTCTTAAATCTTTAATGTATATGT